CAGAGTTGGCCCTCTGGCCTGAGATTTCAGTAATAGGAGAGCTAAAAGAATTATGCATGTGTAAAAAGTTTAAAGGAAATAAAACAACAGAATCAAGACTTAAGTGAAAGTCAGAGATAAAACCCACAGAGAGAGAAATAAACCTGTTTTTTGCACCTTCCAGAAAGTGAAGCTGGGAATAAATAAACAGGCCTCAATTTAGGTTGGAGTAGTCACAAAGTTTCAAGTCTCTAAGGTTTCTCTGGAGGCCAGAGTTTCTAGTGGACCATTCCTCATAAGAATTTATACTGATTTATATAGCCTCAGATTCATGGAATGATTAATTTATGCTGAGTCATATAATCACAAATTCATACTAATGCATAGAACTACAGATTAGTACCGACTCATATAATCAAATTCATGCTGATTCATAAAAGCACACATCCCAGTCTAGCACCATAGAATACAGAATAGCCTTTCTTCATTCTTCATTTGTAGCTCTTTCTCCAACACAGAATTTAGTTCTCAATCCTCACAAAGTTTTTTACATCTTTGCTCAATCTTGGAGTTCACATGAAGTAGTTTGGGATATCACCTCCCCCAATCTTGTTTAATTTAATTTAATTATTTTGAGCACAAGAAAAATGAGCATTTCTAAATGTCAGAATGTTAGACTTGGGTGTACTCAAAGAAGAAGCCTTCATATTCCTCCTACCTAGCTCCCATTCTCCATCCTATCTGCATTGCCTCTTTCCATTTAGATAATCTCATTAATTCTTAGTTTATATTTTTTGTTTTTTGTGAAGATGAATACATACATGTTTCTTGTTTCCTATTCTTATATGAAAATTAGATAGTTCATGAAAATATTCTTGTCTAAGTCTCACTTTAAGTGTAAACAAAGACACAATCTCATTCAGAAACTTTAGGTAAATAGATAAGAGAATGAAGAATAAGTTTCTAAAACCCAATTGTTGAATCAACCTTCTAATTTTCTCTCTTGAACGTCTTGGTCCTGATTAGAAGCCCCTAAAGGCACCATTTAACCTAAGTAGAGGAACAAGAGATGGTGGTTAGTATTAGATAGCCTTCACTACACTCATCTATATTCCTAAACTAGGAATAATTTATCTTCAAACTTAAAATCTTCTGATTAGTAAATTTAAGGGTTTGGACTAGGTAGATCTCTGATGTCACTCAACTCCAAGATTCTTTTGAGGCTCTGTTCCCATGGTGCTATGGTTTCTAATATTCTAAAACACAAATCATTTTACAGAGACACTTACAGGCAGCTTCACTATCCTGCCTTGAATCTCTTCAGTCACAGTTTAAGGACAATAGAATGGGCTTCATGATAAAGAGGAGCATCTTGAAGTCTGGAGACCCCATATTCCTGCATAGGGCTCTTGTGAACAACCTTGGAGAGGAAAAGAAGACCAGGATTCACATTGAAAAACTTCAGAAATCTTTAATCATCCGGTTCAAAGAGATTGAGCAAGAAAAATTAGCCCTGAGAAGGTTTATGATACAGCTTCGCCAAACAACTGGTTATTTTCCTCGAATGCCTTTCTGGTGACTGATGTTACTGTAGGTGAGGAGTTCAACTGAGTTTCTATTAGAAAAAATCTGAGTCTCCTGTTATCTCTGTGTAACCTAAGAAAACAGTGTAAGCAACTATGACAAGTACAAAAACAGATAAAAAGATGCAAATGGAATGTCTACTGAAAATCAACTGATATCTCCTGAAAGAGAATAAGCATTGATTTTTTCCCATGATACCATTTCTTTACAACTTGAAATAGTAATATGCAATGCATATTTTCTTAAGAGATTTCCCTGAGACAAGAATAAAGCTTAGCTGTTTTCAAGATCTTTCTGATATTGACCATGAAATACATATCATGCCTGAAACATATTTGCCTTAGAATGCCTTAATTGACATAATTTCAGTTGTTTGTCTATAGTTTGAATAGCATGAATAAAAAAGTTGATGCCAAAATTAAGAGGAAAATAATATAGTGGGAAAAGGATAGAATCTTGACCAATTCAAGGGCCCGGGTGGTGGCTCAGTGGTAGAGCGTTTGCCTAGCATGCGTGAGGCACTGGGTTTGCTCCCTGGCACCACATTAAAAATTAAAAAATAAATAAAATAAAGGTATTATGTCCATCTACAACTAAAAAATATTTTTAAAAAATAATCAATTCAAATCTAGAAATTTGTATCTATTACAATGTGTGATCCTGGAATTAGAACTCTTTTATTCAAGATGGATATAGCAATAATTATATCAAAAGATTGTTTTAAGGATTAAATAAAAGACAATATATAGGGCATATTGTAGACATCCCTCTATGTTCCAATGGCCCCTTAACAAGGACATCAATGGTTGAATTAGAGCCCACACTTAAAAACATCACTTTAACATGGTTACCTCTGTAAAGCCCCTATCTCCAAGTACGATCATATTCTGAGATCCTGGGTGTTGGGATTTCAGCATATTATTTTTAGGGGTGGTCACAATTCATCCCATCACAGGGAGTCCCTGGGTCACAGAGCTCTGAAGAGCAGCAACTTGGGTTTTTTTTTTTTTTTTTGTCAATGGATCTTTTTTATTTTGTTTACTTATATGTGGTGCAGAGGATCGAACTCAGGGCCGCGCACATGCCACGCAAGCACTCTACCACTGAGCCACAACTCCAGCCCAACTTGGGGTCCTTTATACCCCAGGGTTTGTCTTTATCTACTGCTAGCAGATATTGAGTTCAGTTTTATGGAGAATGCAAAGCAGGCAGCTCTAAATGCATAAGAAATTTTTGTTTGTTCAGGCTATAGTTAATACAATGGGATATTTGAATATTTTTGTTTGGTCCCATCAGGCTTTGAGCCAAGAGTCTTGGCCAGCTAAAAAGAAATAAATAACACTGGGGCCTACATACAGGGGCTGGTTTATGTAGTAACCCATTTTTCTGGCTCCATGTTGTGTTATAATCTAAGTTGGATGTTACTTTGTAGTGCCTGAGTTTGGAGCCAGTGATATAGGTTCCTGAAGACCTAGCATTCCACACAGACATAAACCAGGGTTTCAAAGCCTATTCTTAGCCTGCAGGCCCACTTATAGATAATAAAATAAGAAGCTTTTTATTTATTCCATCCATTTTGTTAATAGAATGACCTTCTGACCACTTTGATACATGTTCTTGCTGTTATTAAAACTTAGCAAATAATGTCCACCAACAAGCATCAATTTTCATCAAATGCACAGCTAATTATTGATCCAAGGGTGTAGTTATCTCACATCATGGTCCCTGAAGTGCACTTCCATGAGAAATTTCAGTCCTTGGTCAGTTGTATAGTTTGTGTAGATAATTCTTTGGGTATGGCTGTGTTTCTTTTAATTGTTGTGTGGTGTGCCACATATATGCTATTCCTGCTGCCCCCCAAATTAGTGATCCAGGGTTAATAATCAGGGGGAACTGTTGGGAAAATTCTCTGTGGCTTTGGAGAGTTGGGCCAGTATAGCTTGTAGGGACAGACTGCTATTCAATAAAATTATTTTTGCATTTTGGGCAACATTCAAGTGTGGAAACAATTTTCCAGGGCTGGATGGGAGAAAGATTGTGATAAGTGAGGCTATTTGATTTTATTTCAGGCCTGCTGGGTTCCCCTTACAACCTGTATTCTCTGTGTTCCTGTGAAGGTAAGTTTGAGTGACTTAGTGTAGTTCCAAATAGCGGGAACTGGAGCATATAATGTCAGATAAGCTTATGGTTTACCTACTCCACCTTCAGTACCTGACTCAACTCAATTGGATATGGCTTCAGCCTACCACTACCCACATATTTGCATGAGGTAAGTCTCACAGTTTATTGGATGTTAATGTCATTGTAGGATATTGGTGGTTAGACTAGGCTCCTCTTATAAGGGAAGTTTATGGGAAAGGAAAATCAAGCAAGAGGTAATAAACTCTGTGAAGATCAGGTTCTTGAAATCAACCTCAGCATGTAGTTTAGATTTGTGCAGATATGTATTACTGTATCTAAGGCTATATACAATATGACCATACAGTTGGTGTGCATTAATGATTGAGTATTCTACTGATTGCCAATGATCAGTAGCGTTACTACATTTGAGTAGTACATAGATTCAGGTGTTCTCAACAGTTAAAAAAAAAAAAAATTAGCTGTATACCAAATTGGGCCTGAAACTATGGGACACTCACACATGAGATCCTCCATAGGTGAGATGAGTTATTCCAAAAATAAACATTAATTGTATTGTACAATTGGCTCATTTCCATCTCTATTTGTTGCAACATATTATAGCTGTGTTTTGTAGTATGACTACCTGCTACATCTTTTCCATTCTAGGGGATACTTCTCAAGGAAGTTTGAATAGCTCTAGTAGCCCCAGGGGTGGCCTCTTGTGAGGTGGTGGTGTGACTACACCAATAAATTTCCTCCCAGGTTAGTTTTCATGCTGATCTTTTCACTCTTGTTTCTATATTCTATAAAGTGAGATGTGAATGGTTTCTTAAGGTGGCCCCCAGAAGACTAACATTGGATGATGATATCCCTCAAATATTTCCCAAGTCATTACTGTGGGTGGTGTTGGTAGGCCTAGCAAATTTTATAATAGCTGTATGCAAGCAGCTGGATGGAGAAACCCCCATGCAGAGAGAACAGCAGGTGACTCCATCAGTCTGATCAAATATATTTTTATGAGAATTATCTTTGCTGCAACACCCAAGTGATATGATTATTCTGTGAGCAGCATTCATTGTTGTAGAGCCTATTTCCACAGATTATTGTGTAATAGTTGTAGTTGGCATTGTGAGAGGATTAAGTTGTGGAGAATTCTTAAACTGGTTGTATTCACCGATTTCTTAGATACGCCTTGCCCAGGTAATATTATTTAGTATTCATAGTCTTCCTCGCAGCCACAGATGAGGTCCATAGTAATGTGTCCTTGGCAACTCAGTGAGATTTTTTTTTCTCCCCAGTAAATGGAGATTGTAGTATAGGAGGTAAAAGATCATTATAATTAATAGTATAGGAGGAGAAAATCATTATAATTCATAGAAAAAGAGACCAATAGTTACAAGGGTGTACATTATTGCATGACTTACACTGACAGAGATGGGAAGAGATCCAGCCTCAGTTGTTGACCAACCAACCCAGGTGACAAACATTGTGGTCCCATTGCCCCAGACTGACCCATGTTGTGTGTCCCTGTTATGTTTTACGGCATGCTGTCATCGGTCGTAGGGGTGCAGATGACCAAGACTATGGTGACCCACTGATGGACATGAAGTTGACAGTGGCAAATCTGGGAACTCCTCAGGTAAAGAAGAGGCACAGCAACAGAGAAGGGGTTAAAATTACAGGTCATCTACATCCAGGAGGGGAGCTGTATCCGGAGCATCACACGGGTAGTACTGCGCATCCTGAGAATTGTTTTTTCCACAGCATCTGTAGTGGAACACAGCACGTGGATGGCAGCTGAGGATGTCTCTCCAGATAGTGGCGGGTGGTGTGGGTGTTGTGCTCAGCTTACAGTGGATGATAAACAGATACAGGTTGAGAAGTGTCCCAGAGTCAATGGTCTGCACCAGTGCCTTGTTGGGATCAAGGGGAAACTGTTCAGTCTTTGAAGGTGAAGGGAAAGATGGAAGAGCCATGGTTCCTTGGCTGTGAGCAACCCTGGCAGGGCTCCCCTGTCCATTAAAACTGTAAATATGTTGTATCCAATATGATTATTAGCAGAAGTCATAGCATCTCTGTTGGTTATCTCCCTATTTGTTATGAGTTTAAATATGGGGTGATTATTGTGCATGACTTGCGTGGCTGAAACTGAGAAACTAGTGAGGGGCAATGGGGAATTAAGAAAAAAACAACACATAGACACAGTGAGAAAGCTGGGTCAGGTGGAATACTGCATTCTGAAGGAGAAACAGTGACGAAGTGCTGGCCCAGCAAGCTTATTATATATAGTCTCATAATCAGGAAGTTAAAGACTGCAGAGGCATTGTTCTTTATGCACTAGAAAGTTATGGGGCTAGAAACATTCTTGTAGCTATTTCACTGTTGCAATGCTAGGAGCCTCATGTGGCATCCAGGAAGCCCATTATTCAAAGTTTCTATTAAGCAGGCAGGATTGAAGTTAGCAGATCTGGTGAAACATTGTAGTTATCTGACTATGCTCAGAATCCTCCATTCCTGGGAACTGGCTTCTGAGATCTAGGCCAAGATTCTGTGCTTTGCACAGAGCCTTTTATAAACAGGGCATCACCATAGCAACTGGGCTATCTTGTCCCATACTTTGTAAAGGAAATTCCCAGTATTTGTAGGTGCACCACATGGTGTTTTATCCAAAACATCATGCTCCACAGTATTGTGTAGACAATGTAATCAGAACTAAGGGCATTGTTTTTATGACTTAAGAGATCATTGTCCTCAATGTTCCCTCAATAGCCATTGTTTAAAAAGCCTAGTATGTCTTTGTCTGTAATCTGCTGCTCTTATTTTGTAATGTTCATTGTTAGTTTTGCTATGCAGTAAAATGGGAACCTCAATCTGTCTGTATAACTTGTGACATTCCCAAAGGCTATGGATATGGTTTGAGTGTATTCCCCAATGTTTCATGTGCTGGAATCTTGGCCCTCCGTGTGGTGGTTTAGAAGTGGTGGAAACTTAGTGGAAAGCGATTAGTTCATAGGGACTCTGACCTTATTAATGCACTGTTAACTTGAAGGAGGAGGTCAGATCTTTGGGAATTGAGAGAGTACTGAGAATAGGCTGTTACGAGTTAAGGTTTCTCAGCTCATTCTCTTATTTCTCCCCTCTCACACATGTGCTCTTCTGTCCATGCCCACTTCCTTCTACTCCTCTGCCATGTTGTGATGCAGTTGGGGCAGGGGGTGTTCTTGCTGTATCTTGGTGCCCTACTGTTGGGACTTCCCAAGCATGAGAATTATAAGTTAAACAAAACTTTTTTCTTTGTATATTTGCCAGCTTCAGATCTTGTTATAACAACAAAAAATGAACTAAGGCTATGAAAGGTGTTTTGTTCATTCCTCAATAACATTAATGGAGGTTTGTGCCTGTTGTAGACTTGTGTAAGTACCCACCACTGTGAAGACCCTGCCACATGACAGGAAGAGACCCAATAAAGTGGATTTTTCCAGTTCTTATGTGGCCTTTCTCTTCTGCAGGTTCTCCCAAGTAGTGGACCCAGTCTTTATTATGTTTCTAACATGTCCCTAAGTTTGTCCCAGGCTTTGTGTAAACATCCCAATTCCTCTGTGAAAAGTCTATTTTCATAACTCTATGATGCCCAAATGTCCTGACCTCTTCTCTTACATACCTTTGAGTAGAAGAGGTAGAGTGCCTCATCCCTAAAGTCTGGGACTCTGCCTACTGCAATAGGTTTACTCACTTTGATGTTTTGGTGAGTGTATCAACTTTGGGGTTGTATGTGCTTCTTCTATGTCTTTTCTTGTGTGGGCTGAGTTCATTTGTGCAAGGGAGGCAAAAAAGGAGCCAGTGTGATAATATTTTCCCACATTTTTTTTACCCCAAATGTCTTAGCCTGATGTTTTATAGCACTGATTTTGCCAAAGTCCCAACCAATTAGTTCACACACTACAGAGCAGCTGGGAAGTGTTTCTGTGGTGGCCATAGTGCCTATTCAGTGACAAACAAGAAGAACAGTGGTAGCAAAGCACAGAGCCTGAGGGAAATGAAGCCCAGGGGTGGTTCAAGTCAGACTTGCTGGAGCAGGACATGCATGTCTCCTGCTGCCTGGCCGTCCTCTGTTCCATCTTGTTTGTCCAACTTTCCCAATGACCCAGTGGACTACTCCATTTCCTTCCAATAAATTCCTTGTTTGGTTTCAGTCAGTGTCTGCTCCTGTTGCTTACAATTAAGAACTCTGAATGATACACCCACCAACCCAGCCAGGCTTCCATACTGGCCAACTGGAGCGGGTACCAATGAAACAAAACAAAAAATGGCAGCTCTAGGGTTATATAACAGGGTACCACAAATCCATCTATGTGACAGCAAGAACTGTCTAAAGCTCATAAAACAGAATTTAGAATTAAAAATACTCAGTTCATAGTATATTTAGATAAAATAAACCCTTATAATCCTAATAATTTAATTATGGGCTTTCTGGTACCCTCAGAATTTTACTCAACTCCTGTCTGCCACCAATAATCTGAAAAATCTTGGGCATGTTGCTTAGCATCTGGAAATGGGGATAATAATGGCTAATTACTCACCTTTTGTATTTTATTTTCCTTGTCTGAAAAACAAAGAAGATAGTACCTACTTCATTGGCCTGTTATGAGAGGATTTAAAAGTCACAGAGCACAGTGCACTTGACACACAGTAAACTTGTGAGAAGGACTCTCCTTTCCCAACACTGATAACATCATTAGTTTTTATATGACATGCAGGCTCTTTCCCAAAGTGAGATAGCTTCAACCGGTGCAAGTTTTTTGGCCACACTGAACTTTGAAGCAATATGATCTCAGAATACTTGTTCCAGTGCTTCTGACTTCCACACCCACAATGCTCATGATGTCACTTTCCACATGACTAAATCCTCTGCAAAGAGAAAGGCATGCCAGGTGTTAATCTGAAAAAGGGTCAATATTTAAACAGTAAAAGCTCTTTCACGAAGATCAACCTCAGCCTTCTGTGCTTTCTCACACCCAGTCAACCCCATCCAGCCCTCTTTCTATCTCTTGCTTACTCTGGGCCTATAGTCATTTGTCACAACTGGCAAATTACTGGCACACTCTTAAGTGGAAATACCATTTGGACCCTCCTGACAGTATCAGCCTGGATCATGGTGATTTTAGCTGTTCTAAGACACTTTTTTAAAGAGAAGCATCTAATATAATCTGGGCAAATCTGAGTCATTTCCCCAGAATTTAGAATTAATTTTATCAATTTCTGGACAGGCTCACTGCTCTTTTTTTTTTTTTTTTTTCCCACTGCTGTCTTGAATGGAGGAGACTGAACCACAAGGGCTCATGGGTCCAGTCGAGTTTTCATAAGGCCAGAGTCAAGGTCCTACCTGGGCTTGGCCATGCAATCCCTGTGGGACTTTGAACAAATCATCCACATCTCTCAGCCTGTCTCACCTGTGGATGATGCCAACTGCATGTGGCTGTTTTGTGCATCACAGGAGATGACATATATACCTAGAGCGAGCAATTGTTTAACAGAAAAGGCAGCAGAGCATGCAGAAGCTGGTCTCACGTCCAGTAAGTAAGGGGCAGGATGGGCACATGACTAAGTCCTGTTAACACCCTTTCCAACATTTCCTTTAAAAAACTTCTTTGAGACAGGTGTGATAGCACAGGCCTGTAGTCCCAGGTACTTGGACAATGAGGAAGAAGGAGTGCTTGAGCCCTGGAGTTCAAGGCCAGCCTGAGCAACACAATAAGACCCCCGTCTCCAAAACAAAACAGAAACATGGCTTTGTAGGCCACATAGCCCATTTTTACAGGCAGCACGAAGAAACACAGCCAATTACCTGGCCCATCTGTGGGATCCCCCAAGCAAGTGATAGCAGCTCTTGAGGGCTGGGAAGTTACTTTTCTTATTCCACGTATAGACACGCAGAGAGAGGTCGAAGGAAGAGGTGATGACTCGCTCTGGGCCCTTGAGAGGAAGTCAAGTGAGGCCACGGTGTGGGCTCCTGCAGGAAAGCATGGCAGGGGCAGGGCACGCTGCACTCACCACCCATAGGGATGTGATGGGCTTCTGGTGGTCCCGGAAGGCCTCAAGCTGCAGACCATGTATGGTGAAGAGAACCAGTTCCGACCCAGAGGTCAGCAGGATCACCTGAGAGCCATGGCTCTGCATGAGGTGAGGAGGCATCATGGCGTCTGGCAAGAGGAAACTGGCCATCTGTTGTGCTTTTTGGAATAAAAACACAGATTGGCTTTCTCTGAGTTATCAGAGATATCACTTAAGATGATGTGGCACACTTATTCCACTGCTTTGCAGTCAGACCCGCACTCAACCCTGATCCATGCATTTATTCCCCTAAATCTCCAGTTCACCAGCAACAGAATAGTGATTATAACATTGCAATCACAGAGGGTGGACTCAATGCCATATGCTTATGGGAATGACTGACAGCATGTGGTACACAGAACCATTCAGGGAACCAGGGCTCCCTTTACCTCTTCCCTTGGTTGAAGGGAAGAAGTTGAAGATACCCTTCTAAGACAGAGTGAAAGAAGAAATGGCCATGGGACAACTGTATGACATCTGCCAAAAACTCCTCTTTAAGATACAGTTCATTATACTGCATAGCATTCCTTTATACAGGAAAAAAATTACCTCTTAAGAAGAATTTGTGTGTTTCCTTATAGCAGACAAGGCACATATTATACATCCTGTTTCCCTTTTTTCATCAACTGCCAGGAAGCTCAGAGCAAAATTTAGTCATAGTATATGAAAACGAAAGAATACAAAGGAAAAAAATGCCAAGAACCAAAAGCAAGGCCTATCAGAGTAATGTGGGGCCTAGGAAATAGAGGAGATATCGGGGAGGGTCACGGTTCTTACTAGACTAGAAACTCCTTGGGGAAGAAAGTAATTTTAGCTTTTATTCATCTTTGTACACGATGCTGAGAGCAGGGGCTTTGACATAATCAGGAAGAGAAAGGTAGTAATAAATGGAATCAGGAAGATCACTTGGGGCGGAGAATCTGTGGACGTGTATTAGTGTCTGAATCTCAGGACCATGAAGGGGGCCCAACATGTGCACCATCTTTCCACCAGGACATAAAGTCACAATGTAACTTCTGCTGGGCTACACCCCTGGGAGAGAGGAACAAGTGTTCAAAAGAGACGCGGAAACCCTCCATAGAAACACCACACTGTGATGCTGGTGATGTGCAGACCGTGGCCAGCATGGGGGACTCTTACCCAGAATGCTCACTCTGTCCCTGGATTTCATGGCTTTTAACTCAAAGGTAGTGACAACCAGCTGCCTGACACTGCCATTTCTGTGCATAACAATCAGCCTGGCAGCTTCATCAGGGGCCCAGCAGGCTTTGGAACTCAACCGGACAGTGAGGGTGGTAGAAACAGGAAGTTCATCTTCCGATGGGTGCAGCAAGGACTGAGTGTAGAACACCTGGGGAAATACCCCTGAATGGTCACCGTGTAGACGAGGGAGTGGCTTCTCAGACCCTGGGCACTCAGAAAACCTCCCATGCCCAGCCTGACTCCTGCATCTCGGGCCTGGCCAGGGCACCAGGCTGTCTGCATACCCCACAATGCCTGTATGCCTGTGCCACCGCATACCCTCCTTCCAGGCTATGAATGGACCAAGCTTTTTTTTTTTTTAAACTGGGCACTAAACTCGGGGGCCCTCAACCACTGAGCCACATCCCAGCCCTATTTTGTATTTTATTTAGAGACAGGGTCTCACTGGGATGCTTAGTGCCTTGCTTTTGCTGAGGCTGGCTTTGAACTCGCGATTCTCCCGTCTCAGCCTCCTGAGCCACTGGAATTACAGGTGCATGCCACCACACCCGGCTGGACCAAGCTGTTTCAGGTTAATCCCAGCTTATGTCTGGCCCTGCTGGAAATATCCTGGTATGCCATTCCCACTAAGATTGGTGTTGGTGTGACAGATCCATCACATAAATGGCATTTCTATTTGTGACCAGCTGTTGTCATGTTTTGCTGATGTCACATGTCTCCCTGGCATATCTCTTCAGTGACTCCTTAGGCCTCCCATAGACCCCAGCCTGTTCCTGGTAGTTCCCTCCATGCCCTCTTTGCACCTGTCTGTTCTCTGACCACTTACCTCCCTGGCTTCTAGGTCCTGAGGATCCCCACCCTACTTCTTGCTCTGCAACAACTTTTGTTCTCTCTCTGTCCTCCTTCTCCACAAGACCATAACCAACTGTCTATATTTTACTAAGATCTAATTTCCCAGTCCAAACCCTGTCACTCAAAAAGTATTTTATTTGTTGGGCACAGTGGCCCATGCCTGTAATCCCAGCTACTCAGGAGGCTGAGATAGGAGGATCACAAGTTTGAGGCCACCCCCAGCCACTCAGCAAGACCTCATCTCGAAACAAAAAAGAAAAAGCGCAAGAGACATAGCTCAGTGGTAGAGTGCCCCTGAGTTTGATCCCCTGAACAACAAAAAAAAAGTGCTTCATCCCCTGGCAAATGAAAGCCATTTCTGCATGCATGTCACTGGGACTCAACATTATGGCACAGGAAGAGGGCAGCACTGAAGACATGCCCACCATTTCCTTTTCCAGACACCAAATGCTCCCCTCACTCATTCTCTCATTGAAACTATTCTCAGACCACCAAAGGCTCTAGAAGTTTTCCTCCAGTATGTCACTAAGGTCCCAAACCTGTTCCATCTGAACACTTCTGCCTCCCCAGCAAGGCTGGCTCCTTCTAGCTCACAGGCAGCATGGCTGCCAGATAACAGTGCTCTCCGGGGCCAGGGACTTCCAAGTGTCCCTTCTGCTAGAAGCAGACGTGACTGCTGGGAACAGAGCCCCCTGTGGACAGAATGTGGCTCCTGGGAGCAACAGGGCTCACTCCTGCCAGCCATGGGGCTTGGTCTTAAGCACAAAGCAGCTCTTGAGCTCATAGGATGCAACTCCAGAGGCCAGACCCTCTATTTCCTCTCACAAGGCGAGGCCTCCCCGAAGGAAAGGGTTCCCTAGGCACTGACCTTTGGGCCTAGGTCTGAATTGTGTGCAGATGCAAACAGCCACTGTCGGTCAGGAGAGCAGAGGAGGCTCACAAAGGGACTGGGAAACAAAGTCACTTTGGAGACCACCTGCAGCTGAGGCACTGTCAGTGTGTAGAGTCCCTTCAGCACAAGCCACCTGCAACAGATAAAGAACCAAAAGACCAGCAGAGTGTGAGAGGGGCCAGGCCCTGAGCCCAGCAGGAAGCATCATGTTCTGACCTGTCCTCACCAGAATGGAAACCACTGTTTAACTGCTGCCCCCACAGGGTGCAAGTGCCACTTACTTGAGGTTGCACCTTAGAATATTTTTTCAAATACACTCATGGGACTAGGGTGTAGCTCAGTGGTAGAGTGCTTGCCTAGCATGCATGTAGCCCTGGGTTCCATCCCTAGGATGGCAAAAATAAATACACAGACAAAAATGAATACATTCAAACAACAGAGACTCCAAAGCTTCTGCTCACCTCCCTGCAGGATTTGCATGTGACCCTTTCATGCCTTTCTACCCACTGGCAAAGGCATCCATGGTCACAATGGCATGCTGTGCTACAACCGGCCTTTTAGTTTTACACTGAAAATACTCCTTGGAATCTCCACATTAGTGGACCTTTTCTTTTGATTTCCTGTCCTACTGATAGAAATTTAAACTGTTCAACAATCACTGCTGCAGAGAATACTCCTGCACACACCTGGACACTATGTGTCTGTGCTGAGACAGGGAAGGACCCTAACTGGAACCACTAGACCAAAGAGTATGCAGCTTTCAAAAATCCCTCAAACTATATTCCTCCAGTTCCCCGCATAAAATAGCTATTTCTCTTCATCCAATTTATAATATTTTAATGGATTTTTAAATTTGGATATAATAAAATACCACCTTTGATTTTATTAGACTTCCTCCTTCTCTCCCCTCCTCCCTCCCCTTGTTCCCATCTCTCAACTTTACTGATCGCTTTACTAATTGATTTTTTTTTTTTTTTGAGTGAGTGTTTTGTGGATGTACATGAGATTGAGAATCACTCTGACATATTCATATATGTACTTGGGGAAGTTAAGCCAGATTCATTCTGCTGTTGTTCCCTGTCCTATCCCTCCTACCTTCCCTTCATTCCTCTTGGTCTACTCCACTGATCTGTCAATTCTTTTTTTGTGCCCCCTCTATTTGGATTAGCTTTTGCATATTAGAGACAACATCTGACCTTTGACTTTTGGGGACTGGCTTATTTCACTTAGCATTGTAATCTCCAGTTCCATCCATTTACTAGCAAATGCCACAATGTGTCATTCTTCTTTCCGGCTGAGTATATACTCCATTGTGTATATATACCACATTTTTTTCTAATCCATTCATCTATTGAAGGGCACCTAGATTGACTCCATAGCTTGACTACTGTGAATTATGCTGCTAAAAACATAGATGTAGCTGAGTCACTGTTTTATCCTGACTTTAAACCTTTTGGATATCTACCAAGAACTGGGATAGCTGGGTCATTTGGTGGTTCCATTCCTAATTTTTTGAGGAATCTCCACACTTTTCAGAGTGGTTTACTAATTTGCAGTCTCAACAGCATATCAGTGTACTTTCTCCCTTACACCCTCACATGGATTTATTATTCGTGTTCTTGATAAATGCCATTCTCACTGGAATGAGATGAAATCTTAGTGTAGTTTTGATTTGCATTTTGCTTATGGCTAGAGATGTTGGAGATTCTTTTGTGTATTTATTGGCCATTTGTGTTTCTTCTTTTGAGAAATTTGTTTGGTTATTTTGCTTATTTTGTTGACTAGATTATTTGTTCTTTGGCATTGAATTTTTTGAGTTCTTAATATATTCTGGGTATTAATCCCCTGTCAGAGGAATAGCTGGCAAAGACTTCTTCCCATTTTGTAGGCTCACTCTTCACTCAGTCATTTCCCTTGCTAGGCAGAGCTTTTTGATTCAAAGGCATCCCACTTAGTCTTGGTTTTATTTCTTGAGCTTTAGGGGTCTTGGTGAGGCAGCTGGTGTCTGCTCCCACATGATGGAATGTTGACCCTAGGTTTTCTTATAGCAGTTGCAAGGTTTCTGGTCTAATTCCAAGTCTAGGATGCATTTTGATTTGACTTTTGTGCAGGGTGAGAAACAGGAATATAATTTTATTCTTCTACATATAGATATCTAGTTTTCCCAGCACCATTTGTTTAAAAAGCTGTCTTTTCTTCAACATATATTTTTGGTACCTTTGTCAAGTACCAGATGCTTATAATTATATGTGTTTGTGTCTCCTACTCTATTCCACTGGTCTTCATATTTAATGTCAATACCATGCTGTTCTTAATCTTTAAAAATATTTGCTCATCAGGCTGGGCACAGTGTCCATGCCTGTAATCCCAAAGACTCAGGAGGCTGAGGCCGAGTTTCCACCTGTCTGTGGCTCCCACTCTAGAGAGCACTCAGCAGGGAGATTAACAACATGACCAACATATGGGTCCACTGGTTGTAAAAAGACCAATCACCATGTGATGTGCTTAGGCCCTCACTCCTGAAAGCAGGTGGCTCACCAGGACCCCATAAAATGCCTGAGTTATCGCTGCTGCCTAATGTCTCCGTACCAACAAAGATTCTGGTGTTCTAGGTTATTAGATGTTTTAGTCAGCTTTTTCACTGCTGTGATCAATAGACCTGATAAACTGTTCCTCCTTTATAATTGTTTTTATTTGGGAGCTCACAGTTTCAGAGATTTCAGTCCACAGACAGCTGACTCCACTCCTTAGGGCTTGAGGTAAAACAGAACATCACAGCAAAAGAGTGTGGCTGGCCGAGAGAAGAGTGTGGCGGAGGGAAGCAGCTCACATGATGATTAGGAAGCAGAGAGAGAGAGACTCTACTTGCCAGATATAAAACTTATGTCCCAAAGGCCCACCCTCAATGCCCCCTGCCTCCTTCAGCCGCACTCTATCCACCTTCAGTCACCACTCAGTTAATCCCATCAGGAGGATTTATTCATGGATTGGGTTACGGCTCTCATAACCCACTCATTTCTCCTCTGAGCCTTCTTGCATTGTCTCACACACTAACTTTTGGGGGACACCTCACATCCAAACCATAACACTGGGAATAACACCTGTGTCACCCAGAGGCATCAACTTCTTTAAAAGCAGTGACAATGCTTCGCCTACCTGTCTTTACCATAGTCACCCTGCTAGATAACTACACAATGGCCAACAGATTCGGGGTTCCCCTCAGTCCACAGTTCACCAATGTGATAAGGGGCTACTTCATTCCTAGCTTAGGCTCAGGGCCTCTGAAGCCAGTAAGGTAAGCACTGCTACAGGGATCCCCCAACACTTAATTGGGATTCTTTGGGGGTAATTTACTTATAAATATAACCAGGATAGAGAAGCTCTCCCCCTTCCCCAAAGCATGCATGAAAGAAAAAAGAAGAAATAAGAAAATTCAAGGGAAGGAAACAAAAACTCAAAATAGAGATGGGCCCATGACAAAATCACCAGTCCTCCTCAACACCCACAATGTGAAAGGAAAAAAACTTGATATCTTTTAGATCTTCTGAGGTGCTACTAAGGCTAAGTCATAAAACAGCAACTTCCTATTCTTAAAAACTGCTTGAGCTGTGCACAGTGGCCCATGCCTATAACCTGAGACTCAGGAGGCTGAGGCAAGAGGATCACAAGTTCAAGGTCAGCCTCAACAACTTAGCAAGACCCTGTCTCAAAAACAAAAAAAAAAAAAAAACTGTTCAAAGGAGGTAGGAATGTAGCTCAGTGGACAAAAGTTTGCTTAGCATGTGTGAGGCCCTGGGTTCAATCCCCAGTACTGCAAAAAAAAAAAACAAAAAACAAATGCTATTCAAATTCTTTTTCAGGACACAGGCACAGACCCCTAGGACCTTAATAATTTTGTTTTTGATTGTTGTTTTTTGGGCTGTGCTAGGGATCGAACCCAAGGCCTCATGCTTGCCAGGCAAAATGCTCTATCACTGAGCAACATCCCTAGCCCACACTGAAAATAATCTTGAGGACCTGGGAGAACCCACTCTTCACTGAGGAATAAGAACAGAGCCTCAGAGACCTAGGTTAAAACCAGGGATGCCTGCAACAATGCAGGGCAGATCCACCTGGATCAGTGTGTGCTGCGTACTATTTCATCAAAATTTTCCTGGTTTCAATGAATCCACCCTCTATTTCCCCTTACATTACCACTTAAAATCCTCTGCTGCTGGCCAATCAGGAAGACAGATGAGGTTGCATCCTATCTCCTTGTTGCTGACCATCAACAAAGTCCTTTGTGTTTGCAAAAATTCAGTGTCATAATATTAGCTTATTGTGCTTCTCGTGTAGCAAGCTGTTGCTCACTGTCTCACTGTAGACCATATATTCCCCATTTACAAACTTTCTTTGGGCCTCTTTATAGTGGTATTCACAACTTTCATAACAAAAGGCTCTTGAAACTGTTCATAAACAGGTGTTGTGGTTCCTATGACTGAGGAGGCAGAGGCAAGAGAATCACAAGTTAAAAGGCCAGCCTCAGCAACCTAGTGAAACCCTCAGCAACTGAGTAAGACCCTATCTCAAAAGTTAAAAAAGGACTGGGGATATACCTCAGTGGCAAAGCATACCCTGCATTCAATTCCCGGTATAAAGAAAAGAAAGGAAAATTAAAGAAAAAAGGAGGGAAAGGGAGGAAAAACTGTCCACTTTGCAACATCATAAGCATCTCATCAGTGCCCCCAGGGATTTCTGTACCACACAGCCTTTAGTAACCTCCTCCTAGGCCTCTACCAGACACTGGATCACCCATAATGGCCTATGCTACCCATGGCCCTGGTACCAAAACTTGTCATACCTTAGAACAAAAACTGCTGGCTGCACATGGGGCCCTTCTGGGGGTGGAGGCTCACAGTTCCTGAGCCTGTGACTCTGCCCCCAGTTGCATGTTGTGCTTGGGTCCTGGAAGCAACACCCACAGAAGCCTTCCTGCTAAGAACATACCTGGCATCTTCAGGACAAAGTCAGATCTGAGGCATAAGCACAGTCACCTCTGTAGGAGGATGCAGCTCCCCTTCTGCTCAGTCACTCCCTAGATGCAGTGGTCTTAGAGGGCCCCCCATCTCTAGGACCACTGACTCCCTGAGAGGCTCCTGAGCAACTCATGAAGTGTGTTCAGATGTTTTCTGAATGGCACAGCCACCACTGCATGTGACGACCTCACTGGAGAGGTGCTACAGTCTAGCCCTTAACTGAATCCATCACTCTTAAACAAACAAACAAACAACAACAAAAACACAGTAATACAACAACAACAACAAAAAAAAAACACAGTAATACTAAACACCATGACCCTACAATGCCCCTTTCCCAGGAAGCCAGCCAAGTTAGAAGGAAAGTTAAGAGCAAGCCTGAGGGGCTGGGGTTGTGGCTCATGGCAGAGCTCTCACCTAGCATGAGTGCGGCCCTGGGTTTGCTCCTCAGAACCACTAAAGATAAATAAATAAATGTATTGTATCCATCCATAACTAAGAAACATTTTTTAAAAACACTAGAAAAATTCATGTTCAAAACACTAGAAAAATTAGGGATGACAGGAACATATCTCAACATCATAACAGCTGTCTCTGCTAAGCTCCAGGCCAACATCATTCTAAATGGAAAAAAACTGAAAGTACTCCCTCTAAAAACTGGAACAAGACAGGGATGCTCTCTTTCACCACTTCTATTTAACATAGTTCTTAAAACACTGGCCAGAGCAATAAGATAAAAGAAATTAAAGGGATACAGGTAGGAAACGAAAAACTCAAATTAGCACTATTTGCTGACGATATGATTCTATACCCAGAAGACCCAAAAAGTTCCACCAGAAAACTTCTAGAACTAGTAAATGAATTCGGCAAAGTAGCAGGATATAAAATCAACACTCATAAATCAAAGGCATTTCAGTGACAAATCCTCTGAAAGGGAAATGAGGATAACTACCCCATTTACAATAGCCTCAAAAAAATATGTAAAATACTTGGGAATCAACTTAACAAAAGAGGTGAAAGATCTATATAATGAAAATTACAGAACCCTAAAGAAAGAAATCAAAGAAGACCTTAGAAGATGGAAAGATTTACCTTGCTCTTGGATAAACAGAATTAATATTATCAAAATGACCATACTACCAAAAGCACTATACAGATTTAATGCAATTTTAATCAAAATCCCAATGGCATTCCTCATAGAAATAGAAAAAGCAATCATGAAATTCATCTGGAAAAATAAGAGACCCAGAATAGCTAAAGCAATCCTTAGCAGGAAGAGTGAAGCAGGTCGCATCACAATACCAGAACTTAAACTATACTACAGAGCAATAGTAACAAAAACAGCATGGTATTGGCACCAAAACAGATTGGTAGACCAACGGTACCGAATAGAGGAGACAGAGACTAACCCACAAAATTACAATTATCTTATATTAGACAAAGATGCCAAAAACATACACTGGAGAAAAGATAGCATCTTCAACAAATGGTGCAGGGAAAACTGGAAATCCATATGCAACAAAATGAAATTAAACCCCTCTCTCTCCCATGCACAAAACTCAAAAGTGGATCAAGTACCTAGGAATTAAATCAGAGACTGCATCTGATAGAAGAAAAAGTAGCCCTAATCTTCATCATGTGGGATTAGGCCCCCAACTTCCTTAATACAACTCCTATAGTACAAGAATTAAAACCAAGAATCAATAAATGGGATGGATTCAAACTAAAAAGTTTCTTCTCAGCAAAAGAAACAATCTGTGAGGTGAATAGAGAGCCTACATACATCTTGGGAGCAAATTTTTACCCCTCACACATCAGGTAAAGCACTAATCTCTAGGGTTTATAAAGAACTCAAAAAGCTAAACATCAAAAAAAAAAAAAAAAAAAACAAAACAAATAACCCAATCAACAAATGGGCCAAGGACCTGAACAGACACTTCTGAGAAGAGGATATTCAATCAATCAACAAATATATGAAAAAATGTTCATCATCTCTAATAATCAGAGAAATGCAAATCAAAACTACTGTAAGATATCTCACTCCAGTCAGAATGGCAGCTATTATGAAGACAAACAACAATAAGTGTTGGTGAGGATGTGGGGAAAAAGGTACACTCATATACTGCTAGAGGGACTGCAAACTGAAGTAGCCAATATGGAAAGCAGTATAGAGATTCCTTGGAAAATGGGAATGGAACTACCATTTGACCCAGTTATCCCACTCCTCAGTCTATACCCAAAGGACTTAAAAACAGCATACTACAGGGACACAGCCACATCAATGTTCATAGCAGCACAATTCACAATAGCTAAACTGTGGAACCAACCTAGATGCCCTTCAATAGATGAAGGATAAAAAAAAAAAATGTGGCATATATACACAGTGGAATATTACTCAGCAATAAAAGAGAATAAAATCATGATATTTGCAGGTAAATGGATGGAGTTGGAGAATATAATATTAAGCAAAGTTAGCCAATCCCCAAAAACCAAATGCCTAATGTTTTCTCTGATATAAGAAGGCTGACTCATAGCGGAGTAGGGAGGGGGAGCATGGAAGGAAGATAAACTCTAGATAGGGCAGAGGGGTGGGAGGGGAAGGGAGGGGCATGGGTTAGAAATGATTGTGGAATATGATGGACATCATTATCCAAAGTACACGTATGAGACATGAATTGGTGTGAATATACTTTGTATACAACCAGAGATATGAAAAATTGTGCTCTGTATGTGTAATAAGAATTGTAATGCATTCTGCTGTCATATATAAATGAGAGAGAGAGAGAGACCCAGCGAACAAGCCTGGACCAAACGTCCAAGTGAATACTATCTCAGAAGACCCTGATTCTCTCATGGTATGTTACAAAGAGGGCAAACCAGTGTTATCTGTAAGAACTGCTTTCTTGCACACATGTCAGAATAGCTGCTCACTGAGATGCTGATCATGCAAAGAACAAAGCAAACTGATAATATGACTACTTCTTCAGCCTAACTTTTACACCCCATCCCTGCAGTCACTGGCATGGATCTGAGCACTGTGGAATGGAAAGAGCTTGAACCAGCTGCCGTCACTGAACAAAGCATCGTGGGAGAATGTAGGTGTGCTTTTCTGGTGAAGCACTGACTCACTATGTGAAATGGAAGTGCAGCTGTGCAACCTGTCACCACTGGACTTTCTGGAGAAGCTTATCACCACTGGATCTTCCCTGTAAGCTTTTCTCAATAAACCTTACATCCTAACATCTCAACCCCAGGAGTTTTCTTTGGTCCCTGGGCCATCTTCTCATTGCCCTAGCACAACAGGGCTGTGAATGATACACTGGAATGTCCAGTTAAAGATGAGGAAGTCAGTGTGACTCAGGCATGTCCCCTGCTTTTATATCCAACCACTGGGTTCTTAATCTTTGTTAATGAATTCTTCTAGAATTTCCATTAAATCTAGTTCTTTTCTAAATATGTTACATTTTATTTTTTAAATAAATAAAATAACAGATTTAGAAAATTTTTGTTTTCTGTTAATATTTATCTCCCTGAACAACAACTTCAGGCGTCTGAAGCCCTGTGACTCACTTTATATTGTGTGCTGTTTCTAGTGCCAGTTCTAGCTCATGTGACCTCATCTCTTCATGTGCCTAGTTTTAAGTGTGTACTGAACACTGTATTTGGAAACAATGTGAGCTGTGGGACACTATTAACATTATCGAGAAATTATTCTCATGTACTCCAAATGAGTAACCAGAGTGCTAAATCCTGCTTTCCTTTGGGTTGTAACACTTGCAAATCCTACCTAATCCATGAGGGTTCACAAGGTTCCATACATGGTGGCCCCATACTCCAAAGTTTGTCCCTATGCTATCAAAGGTCTGCTCAATCTCTTGGCTGCCTAGACTAAGGTTCCATGGCAAAAAGAGTCCCAAATGATAGGCTCATCACTTTGACTTCTACCATCTCCTTAATCCTCTTCTATTAACTATTCACTCCTTATTTTAGATCACTGGTATTACCAAATAGGTCTGCCAAGGAGAGGGTCTGGCTCAGGACTCCTCCAATTATGGAAGCCATGATGCCAGTATTCGGATCTGGGGAGGCAGCTAGGCCCTGCAAAGGCTCCTAAGAGCCAGGTCACTCACCAGCAGAAAAGAACCCTCTGGATGGTCACAGGCCTCCACTGCAGAGCAGGAGGTAGGTAGGCAGAAGGAGGCCCACTCCCACCCAGTCTCTGCTTTCCACACTTTGATCAATCCCTGCTTGTCCACAGTAGCAACCAGCTGCAGCTGAGGATAGGTCACCAAATTCACCAGAGGAGCAGGCTGCAGAGGGCTGGACCAGATCTCCGTGCCCTGGCAACAACAAAATTAATATTAACAACTGACATATGCATCCATTTATTTCATAAACAGTTATTATTTTCATACAGTCAACCAGCATACATTTTCCTGTGCCTATTCTGCCAGGCTTCACAGTACACATAGGCACACAGGTGAAGAGGATGTGACCCCACCTTAATGCACTATAAGGAGAGCAGTAATAGAGACCCATGTCCTAGATGGACAAAGAGCAGGACCTACGGGGGACACTTAGACCTCCTGGAGGCTGGGTAGCTTCCATTAGGAGCACAAGAGAGGAGAGTTTCACAATGGCATGATGCTTTAGGCACTTCCAAACGGTTACCCAGAGCTCAAGGAAAAAGAAGGTGCAGACTAGACAGGGAGGCCAGAGGCAACACTGACACACCACACACATATACCACACACACACACACACACACACACACACACAGGCTGCATGCAGCTGCACTCTCAATTGACAAAGACTTTTCTTTATTCTTTTTTTAATATATATTTTTATCTTTTATTTGTTCTACTTAGCTGTACATGATAGCAGAATGCATTTCAATTCATTGTACACAAATGGAGCACAACATTTCAATTCTCCAGCTGACAAAGACTTTTCACGTGTGCTTTCTCACTCGAGTCTCATGGCAGCCCAGTTTTACTGACAAACTCACATGAATAGGTTATGCTGCACAGATGGCTGCTGCCCTGCTGAATGCTGCCTCCTTCTCTAGGATGTGCCCTAGCAGTGCAGCCACAGGCTACCCCCAGCCAGGCCTATCCCCATCCAGTCCACCAATTCAGACAACTGCCCTGAGCTGAGTCCTCCAAGGTCTCTCCTGGGATTTTGCAAATTGGAACAGAGAAGCAGGACAACCTGTTGCCACAAAGCACTGTCACAGGGTGTCAGAGTGGATCTACCCAACTGCTGCCCCAGGCTTCCCAGGCCTGCATGGTGAGGTTTCTTCCCAATTTTGAGTCATTATTGATCTCTCTTCTTCATAATGATTTATCATGACTTTTTTTCCAATCATGATATCCTAGAACTCCTCCATCAGTTGTTTTTTTCCCCTCTGTCATTTGACTTCTGTTGACTAAACAGGTAATATAACAGGGACTGGTGACAAGGGATTCTGAGAGAAATACAGAATTTTTACAAGTTTTCGTTTGTGGTATTAAGAGGGAAAAAAGCACTGTAACTCCCCTTTCTATTTCTAAACCGAAAAACAACACCCACTGAAACAGAATGAGGAATATGCTGGTCAATTCCTGCCTGCAATCTCCAACTCCAGGGCCTCACACAGGGGACCCAACTTGTGAGACATGAGGACTCTGGTGCCCCAGGGCAGATGGATGCTTCTGCTGATACTGAAAACTGTGATTCTAGGAGGAGAGAAGTTTAACCCTACAATTTTTCAGAGGTTAAGAGAATAAAACATAGCATGGGAAACCATCAAAAATGAATGCAGATGACTGGTTAAAAATATGGAGTTGAACATTGTTAAGTACATAGAAAAATTAAGCAAGTAAAAAAAATGTCTAACTTCAGGGATAGTAAAAGGGGAGGAAGAGGATAAAAATGATAATGTCAGTGTTACCTCATGATTCAACCATGAAGATCATGTACATTAATAATTATGGTAATATAGCCTGATGTGGTGGCACCTGTCTGTAATCCCAGCGGCTTGGGAGGCTGAGGCAAGAGGATCGTCAGTTCAAAGCCAGCCTCAGCAAAAGCAAAATGCTAAACAATTCAGTGAGACCCTGTCTATAAATTTAAAAAAAAAAAAAAGTAATATAAATAACTGTTGGCCTAAACAAAATGTACTTGTTTCAGGACAGGAAATTTAAACCTGTGTAGAGAAAAAATGATAAATCACCTGCCCCCAAAATTCAACAGATAATTCCTTTGGGAATACCCTTTCCTCCAGGGAAACATGAATGGGACATGATTGGTTTTTAAAACAAACCTTTTGAGCTAGGCATGGTGGTGCATGCCTGTAATCCCAGTGACTTAGGAGGCTGAGGTAGGACGATCACAAATTCAAAGCCAGCCTCAGCAATTTAGCCAAGTCCTAAACAATTCAGGGAGACCCTGTCTCAAAAAATAAAAAGGGCTGGGGATGTGCCTCAGTGGCCCCTGGGTTCAATCTCCAGCACCAAACAGTAAAAATTAAAACAAACATTTTAGGTTTTTTTGTAAGGTGCTCAGGATGGAACCCAGAGCCTCACACATTCTAGGCAAGTACACTATCAATGAGCCACCCCCAACCCCGCTTTTAGAATTTTGACCTTTAAACTATATGTAACTGCAACATATGTAGCATCTTCATTTCTATCATCTATAGGTAAGATGACCGCAAAACTCTGTTATGCTTTTAATTTTTTTCAAAATAACAGTTATGAATTTTACAAATAAACAAATAATTTTAAAATTTGATAGAGGTTCAGGATGGCAGCACAGAGAGACAAAGCACACGGTAACTATGATGCAGCTCCCTGGCCAGGGGTCTCTACATTTGCCAGAAGATAAGCAGGAAGGCACAGGCTGGCAGTCCTAATGACAAGAGAATTTCTTAGTGCTCATAGACTTTGAAACTGGTGTGGGGAGCTACCCATGTGACTGCTTTGCTCCAGAAAAGAAATGCATATGGGCAATCCCACTCCAACCTCCAGAGCTTAACTTAAAACAGGATGTCACCTTGGGAATGGAGTCACTGCTACAGTCCATCCTGCTGTAGGGGCCACAGGGCCCCAGCAGCATGGCTGCTCCTGCCAGGAACCCCAGTACCACTGGCACACACCTCTACAAAGACTGAGGAAAAGCCTCTCCACAGCCTGTGTCCCTTGATGTCATATCCACCATCATTGTCACTCTTCAACTGTGGTCATGCATCTTTGATAGCCTGGGTCCATTCCAAAGTTCTACCACTATTTCCAAAACACCTACAGTCTAGACTGCTGAGGTACTCTTAGATGTGATGCTGATTACGGATGGCTAAAGAAATGACACAGAAGCTACAATCCTGGGCTAAATCAAAGCCAGTGCACCTACCTGACATTTTACACCTCAGCTACATGCCAAAGTCTTTCCCTATGAAAGTTTCTTCATAAAATTGGAAGAGGCAACTATTACACCAGATGCACAGACATCAACATACAGACACAAGAAGCACAAAATTATCCAGAAACTGACCCCAGTGTAAAGGAAATCTTTTTATTTGATTGCCTGAAAAGGAATTCAAATTAACAATTCTAAGGAAACTCCTTGAGATACAATAGATAATAAGAAGAGGAAAACAATTTATGATCTGAATGAGAAATTCAACAGATAAAAATCATAAAAAAAGAATGAAATAGAAATCTTAGAGCTAAAAAAATCTTCAATTTGAGGCAGCATGGACAACTTAAAAGTAAGATCCTATTTCAGAATCAATTTTCAAAATGGACTAGAGATGTAGCTCAGTGGTAAGAGTACTTACCTAGCATGCATGAGGTCCTGGGTTAAATCCCCGTATTGCAAAAGAAAAGAAAAGGAAAAAATGAAGGAACTCTCACTGGTAAAACAGACACACACAAAAGAAAAAAATCAAACTTTATCACTACAGAAACCACCAAACCATAGGATAAATCAGAGAGCCAGAGAGGAAAAAAGAATACACAAAATAATCAGAAAACAATAAACAACTTGTCAATAACCTTGAATATAAATGGATTAACTTCTCCAATAAGAAGATACAGACTGGTTGAATGAATAGAAAAAGAAAAGAAGACCCAAAGGTAGCTTTACAATCACCAGTAAAGACACATGTAGACCCAAAGTGAAAGCATGGAAGAATATTCCACACTCATGGAAACCAAAAGTAAGTAGCTACTATACTCACATCAGATAAAAGAAACTTCTAAGTCAAAGGTTTTGAGACAGGGCAATTCACGAGAGGATATAAAAATTGTAAGTATATACAAACCCAACAACAGACCATCTAATTAGGGAGATACTCCAGAACAATAATATTTGAGAGCATCAACACCCCATTTTCATTAATGAACGTGTCATCAGACAAAAAATCAACAAAGATACATCAGAGTTGAACTATATACCATGGAGCTAATGAACCTAACATGATTTACAAAACATTTTGGCCGCTAACTGAGGAATGCATTCTCATCAGCACATGGAACACTCTCCAGGAGAGACCAAACAGTAGTCCACAGTAGTCCAAACAAGACTAGAAGTCAACAACAGCAATGGAAAATATACAACCATATGGTCTTGAACAACCAATGAGATGCTGAAGAAATTAAAAAGAAAATAAAAAATTTTCTTGAAATACAACCCATCAAACTATGTGGAATACAGCAAAAATAAGTATTAGAGTGTTACATGTTAGGGAAAAAACTAGAAAGATTTCAAATAACCTAATGATATACCTCAGGGGCCTAGAAAAAAGAAGAAAAGCTTAACCTAAAATTAGTAGAAGGAAAGAAAAATTAACAATGAGAACAGAAATAAACAAAATCAAGAGGTTTTTTTTTTTTTTTTTGGTACTGTGGATTGAACACAGAGTTGCTCTACCACTGAGCTACATCCCCAGCACTTTTTACTTTTTATTTTGAGATGGGTTCTTACTAAGTTGCTTAGGGCCTTGCTAAATTGCTAAGGCCAGCCTTGAACTTGTAATGCTCTTGCCTCAGCCTCCCAAGTCACTGAGGTAGGGTTGGGCCACCATATCTGGCTCAAAACAAAGACTTTTTAAAACAAAAGAGATCAACAAAATGAAAATCTGATTTTTGAAGATAAAATTGATGCCCTTAGCTAGCTAAAAAGAAGAAAACTCAAATAAAATTAGAGATAAAAGAAAAGATGTTACAACTAATACCACAGAAATACAAGCAATCATAAAGAAGAATGAAATTATGGCATTTTCTGGTAAACAGATGCAACTGGAGACTATCATGTCAAGTGAAATAAGACAGTCCCAAAAAACCAAAGGCTGAATGTTCTC